CACTCACATAGCCCTATAGTCAGCATTTATGACCAGCCTCACAAATAATGAATATGAAACAACTTACCAGTGATGTTATCATCCAGCAGCTGTCAGTTTAAATCCAAACCAGCAAAAGTGACATAAATCCACTGTAGCCTGAATGAAATGTCTAAACAGTCCAACACGTTTATACACGTCAAACACAACATATTCCACCACCATCATCGTCATTATCACGGTTGCTTTCAGGTACCTGCTGAGCTGCTGCTCTTTTTCACATTTTCACCAGTTTCGCTGGTAGAGCTAACAGCAGGACTCTGTCAGACATGGAGGGTTGAGTTGAGGTTGGTTGAGGCTTTTTTATCCGCATTTTTATAGTTGGTAAAAACAGAGAGACAGCAGACAGGCTGTGAGCCTTTAAAACTCCTGGTGTTGTTCCTGTGCATATCCAAATAGACTGGCGGGGGGCAATTAAGGGGGTACTAAGGGGGGTGGAATCAGCAACAATACAGCAGGCTATAGCCGCTGGCTACTGCGTATTGTTGAGAACCCCTTGGCAGCGATCAGGGCTCGTCTCTGCTCTGCAGCAGGCAGACTGGTCTGAGCAGTGTCGGCTGGCCAATAGAGGGCGCTAGGGCGCCGCCCCCCTTGAGCCACAGAAAAATAAAATAAAAATTAAAAATTAAATAATAATAATAATAATAATGATAAAAATATCAGTATGTCAATATTTGTGTGTTTGCAATATGGAATGCACCCAGTAATATGTGTAAAATATGATAGAAAATCATATTTTACAACCTTTCCTCTGCCTGTCTGAACGCCTCATCAGCTCTGGGGCGATAGAGAAAGCGCCCCCAGGAGGCGGGTCTATGTAGCAGTTAAGCCAATTGCTAATTTAAGATATGAATGTATGACATTAAATTCAGCCAATCAGCGTCCTTAAATCGAATTCACGAAGGGCGATTATTTTATCGCCCCAAGCTCGCCTCTGATAAAATAAGGACCGGGCGCTAGGGGCGCCATTTTTACTAGACGACAATGGCGAGCGCGAACGTTAGTCCTCCAAGCCCAAGACCCAACCCTAACTCGGTGGAATCTCTCCTCCAAGATCCATTTGAGAGGAGAACTTTGTCGGAGAAAGTTCGGGTGAAAGAGCTGGGCCCAGATCAACCTGACCTTTCAATTAGACAGCAGGCTAGCGAGAAAGGGAAGCAATATATGCGCGGCTTCTCCCGTAGCTGGTACACCAGGAAGGCTTGGCTAGCTGGGTGCACTCATGCTAATGCTTTATTTTGCTTTCTGTGCTTGCTTTTTAAAACGACGGGGACAGATCCAGCATGGACAGTTACCGGAGTGAGAGATATGAAGCACCTGTCAGAGAAGGTAAAGAAACACGAGAACACCAGGGCACACATGGATAACGCTGTAAAGCTAGCCATATTAGGAAGGGTGAACATCGCTACGCAGCTGGATGACGGCCACAGGATTGTGGTGAGGAAACACAATGAGGAGGTGGATAAAAACAGGCACATTTTATCCAAAATTATAGATTGTGTGAAGTTTTGTGGGGCTTTTGAGTTGGCCTTGCGTGGGCATGACGAGACTAACTCGGACTCCTCGGTAAACCCCGGCATTTTCCGGGGCTTGGTGGATTTTGTTGCCTCCCTTGACAGTGTGCTGGAGGAGCACCTGAAGACAGCTACCGTTTTTAAGGGCACGTCAAAGACGATACAGAACGAGCTGTTGGACTGCATGCTGTCAGTGCTTAAGGATTACATCCTGGAGGAAGTAAAGAGTGCTGATTTTATCGCCATTCAAGCCGACGAGACGACTGACGTTTCCACCCACTGCCAGCTGGTACTTGTGCTACGCTACATCGATGCTAACAGTAACATCAAAGAGCGGTTTTTCGAGTTCATTACCATCCAGAACGCAACCGCCGACACCATCGCTACAGCGCTGCTGGAGAGGCTCAGCACCATACTCTCACATGGACAAAAGGCCAAACTTATTGCCCAGGCTTACGACGGAGCAAGTGTGATGAGGGGAGCCACCGGCGGAGTGCAGCGTAAAATAGTGGATGTGTACGAAAATGCACACTACGTCCACTGCTACACACATCAGCTGAACCTCATCATGCAGCAGGCTACTTCATGCATCCCCAGGATCGGCACTTTCTTTTCCGACCTTTCTTCTCCAGGTCTCCCAAGCGAACCACTGTGCTTGACCAAGTGGTTGCCCATAGACTCCCCAGAGCCTCTACAACACGGTGGAACTTCCACAGTCGCGCTGTAAACACTGTGTACGAGCACAAGGATGACCTCCTAACGTGTTTCCAGACCATCAGAGACTCTGGGAACTTTGACCCCCCGACTGTCAGAGAGGCTGGGGGCTTTGTGAGGATGCTTGAAGATGAGGCTTTCTGCTTTTTCCTGGCGCTGTTCCACAAGATCATGCCAAATGTGGACATGCTTTTCAGCCAGCTGCAGAAGAGGAACATCGACCCTGTCTTCATTAAAGAACTTGTCCAGAGGTTCACAGACAGCATGCTAACGATCAGGTAAATAACTATATTTACTATTGGCTGATAAAGCTGTTGTTGTTAGAAAGATGAATAGCTCACTTCCAACAGTGTAAAAGCCTAAATGTGTCTTGTCATTAAAGTGAGTGATTATCATAGAGGACATCACAATTATATTTGTTTTAGTATTTTAAAAGGAAAGAGAACACACAATCAGACTTGGATAATAATGCAGGAAAGTATTACACAGTTTGTAATAACAGGCTTATTAAGGTGTCCACCAGGTCAATTTCTAGAAGAGGCCTAGTTGTTATTGAAGATTGAAGATTAACTTTATTGTCATTTAGACTATCACACAAGTGCACAGGAGAACAAAATTATGTTGCATCCCTCTCACAAATGTAATAGAAAACTGCTAAAAAACGTAATAACATAAGTTAATTATGTACATCACAAGTTAAAAGCAGTTACTAGACATATTGTGTGTGTGTGTGTGTGTGTATTTACGATATGTCTAGTAACTGCTTTTAACCTGTGATGTACATAATTAACAGTCAGTCAGTGGATGTGTGTGTGTGTGTGTGTGTGTGTGTGTGTGTGTGTGTGTGTGTGTGTGTGTTGAGGGGGGTTTACAGTGGGTTAAGAAGTCTGATGGCAAGTTATCAAATTAAACTTTATTTTTTGGACCCAGGGCCTCCATTCCCTCTTTGTGTGGGGACAGCGCATCTGACAAGCAGCAGCAGCCCATAAAGCGACGGAGGATGCTGGGACCAGGAGAACAACAGAGGCTGGCTACAGAGGTAAGTTGTGATGTAATTGTCAGTGTTTCCCCTAGAACTTTTTTTCAGGCCTGGTAGTATGTAGCCAAAACCAAAAACCCTGAACAATCAGCACCTTAGTAATCATATACTTGACTTGGACATAGGCATGTGTTCAGTCAGGATCACTTGCATCAAAAAAGCTTTGCAAATTGCAAATTAAAGCTGATGATGTATCTTTTACAGGTATGTGATACTATCCTGATTCATGCCAAGGAGAGGTTCTCCTTCACCCAGCACCTCATCAGCGCAACACTGTTGCACGGAAAGTTGTTCCCACAACAAAGTGAAGTTCCCCGATGCAGCGCTTGAAACAACTGTGGAGGCGTACCCGATGTTTAACAAGGCCAAGCTCAAAACCGAACTGTCCCTCATCTATGAGAACAGTGAGTTCAAGGCTTGTAGTGGTGCAGTGCCTCTGTACCAGTTCTTCATGGAGAACAACCTTCAGAGCACTTTCACAGAGACTGTCAGCCTCCTCAAGATCCTCATCACCACACCCATGACAACAGCTGAGTCAGAAAGGTGCTTCTCTACACTGAAGAGGATCAAGACCTTCCTGAGAAACAGCATGGCACAGGATCGCCTGAATGCTCTGGCTATGCTCTCCATGGAGAAGAAACTTGTCAGGGACATTCCTGACTTTAATAAAAGGGTCATTGAGAGGTTTGCCACTCAGAAGGACAGACGGGCAAAATTCCTGTACAAATAAAATGACACACACACACACACACACACACACACCCCGCAGCACTGACCACATGTTTTTTTGTATATAGTTGACCTTAGCATAAAGAATCATCCAGTTATATATGGTACTCTAGAAAGTCTTAATAGTGTGTTTGCTAATATTACTGTATATATGTTGTTTTGTGTCAATGAATTGCTGCAGTTCTGGAGCACATTAACGATTAGTTACATTTAGTTTGATCATAAAATACTGTATGCTATTCTTCCAGTCAAAGGTTTGAGTTCAGCCACGTGATATCCATTTCTACATTATACATCCTTTATACAGTGTAAGATTTATTTTAAACTTTATAATAATTTCATGTTATTATCCACTTTCCACAATAGATGTTAAGTGTAGAAATAGTCAATTGTTTGTTTCTTGTGTTTGTGCAATATGATGTTTATGTTTTTGTGTAAGAATGCCTCAACTAATATTGGCATTAAATAATTACTGACTATTTCACTGAGCACTGGTGTCCTGCAGTTTGTGTTAAATTGTATTGCGATGGTTACGAAAACAAAAATGTATGGCACAGCCCCACCGAGAATATTTTTCACCAGCCGCCACTGGGTCTGAGTCTGACTTTTTGCCACAATCAAGACACAAAATATTCAACTAAACAACAAAAAAATGCATATTCAGTCAGGCAGTTTGGGCCAAAGGTGGGCCCCTAGAGAACCGTGGGTCACAAGTTGGTGAGTGAATGCACTCAAGTTGTGTAATTAAAGAAAGTCTATCATATTTTAACGTCTGCTTTTAATGTGTTTATCTATGACAGTCCTGGCTGGCCCTATATGTTCGCATTGCAAGCTGCATAGGGCACCGCTAATTACGTAAGGGCACCGCCTCCCTTTCGTGTCAGTGTTCTGAGATTTAAAGCCAGCCTATAGGCTTATGGACAAAGCTAATTATATTATGAGGACTAGACTACTTACCAGGCAGCAGAGCCAGAGCCTATTGTTATATTTTATATTTAATTATTTTCTTCATTTTATATTTAATACAATTTATTATTTATCTTGTTAATATTCACTTATCTTAATATTCAATAGAAAATATTCTACTCAATAAATATTGTTTGTTTATACCTCATTTTATTCTGTATTGCTCTACTTATTCTTAGACCGACAGAGCAAACTTTTTAAGGAGGAGGGAGGATTGTAGTGGGAGCACTGGGGTGTCAGGTGTGACTGTGTGGCAAAGGCAAATAGTTTACAGGTTAGGTAGGAGAGCCCCTTTAGAGAACCCCAGGGAGGTCAGGACTGGCTCTGCTCTATGCACATGTATACAAGGTATTTTTTGTGTGATTGTATAGTTAAACTTTTGGGGTGATGTTCAGTTAAGTAGGAGTAGGATTAATGAAGTGATTCTTCTTTAAACGCAAATATTCTGTTTTCCTTCTCAAAAATACAATATTACTGCCTACTAAAAAATGCAGTACGGATTTCACAGACAAAATACAGAGCAAATGGTATTGAATGTATAATTTTTATTGAAATGTTACAGTGTAAAGTTAAATTTGGTTCATATTGTATGAACTCTGTAATAGGTTCATTTTGATGTGGCCTCTTATTCAGCAGACTCACTCTGGAAGAAAAATGAAAAAAAAGTAATTATTTCAAGGTTTAACAAGTTATTAAGTTTTATTTAACTTTCAAGGGGTGTTTTTCTACATGTGGTTGTATGCATGTGCTTCTAGAAGTCGTTCCACAAGCTTGATTGAATTTTATGTCAATGAAACCTGAATTTATCTGCACCATATATAGAAACCAGGACAGCAATCCATTTCAAAATTATTAGTATGGAAATTATTACCTTTCCAGCATCACGGCTCTTGGCTCTCAACTTGTTGACCTGGGACTCAGCGATGTCAGCTCGCTCCTGAGCTTCCTCCAGCTCATGCTGAACCTTTCTCAGTCTGGACATGTGGCCGTTGGCCTGCTCTTCCTGTGACGGTATCGGGGGTTATATAGCCTTAGTCTTAGGACAGTTAATGATGTATTATTTATTCTAAATTAAATGATTGGTCATATAAATGTTGACTTACAGCCTCCTCAGCCTGTCTCTTGTAAGATTTGACTTTGAGCTGCAGCTTGTCAACCAGATCCTGAAGTCTGGTCACATTCTTCTTGTCCTCCTCAGTCTGTGCAGACAAAAATTGTAAGTCAAAGAGAAAAGAGAATTCAAATAATGTGTTTTTTAGTGAAATTAGTCACCTGGTAGGTCAGCTCCTTCACTCTCCGCTCATATTTGCGGACTCCTTTAACAGCGTCAGCGCCACGTCTCTGCTCACCTTCAACTTCAGCTTCCAGCTCACGCACCTGAAATGTGATAAATAATCAAAGTTTATAAAAGAATTTTAGTTCATATATATATATATCTATATATATAGATATATATATATAAAGCATAGAGATAAATTAGAATAGAACTGACTCAGTGTCAGATGTACATTCAGAAAAAAGCCATTTATAGTATATGCTGTTCATACCCTGTACTCCAGTTTCTGGAGCTGCTTCTTGCCACCCTTCATAGCGAGGTTCTCAGCCTCATCCAGACGATGCTGCAGGTCCTTGACTGTGACTTCCAGGTTCTTCTTCATCCTCTCCAGGTGAGCACTGGTGTCCTGCTCCTTCTTCAGCTCCTCAGCCATCATGGCAGCCTGAAATGATGGGCAGTTTGGAATTAGAATTTTAAGTCTTGACATTATCGGTCAAGTGTCAGGAAGAATTTGGTGAAGTAGTTTTTTTTACATTAAAAAGAGGACTCACATCAGTGATAGCCTTTTTGGCTTTCTCCTCAGCATTTCTTGCTTCCTGAACTGAATCCTCCACTTCACCCTGAACCTGGACAAGGTCAGACTCCAGCTTCTTCTTGGTGTTCATAAGACTGGTGTTCTGAGAGTGAAGCAGTCCGACGCGCTCACTGGCATCAACCAACTCCTGCTCAGCCACTTTGCGTCCTCTCTCTGTCTGCTCCAGAGCAGCTCTCAGCTCCTCAATCTCAGCCACCATCAGGCCATTTCTGCGCTCCACCATGGCAACCTGCTCCTTCATGTCTTCCTGTCCTCTGACAGCATCATCAAGGTGCAGTTGGGCATCCTGACAAAGAAAAAAACCCCAATGAACTACTATTTTTTACTTCAATACTTTTTAACTTAAGGATCATATAAACCTCACCTTGAGCTGTCCCTGGACATTCCTCAGTTGTTTCTGGGCCTCAGCAGCCTGCCTGTTGGCATGGCTCAGCTGAATCTCCATCTCATTCAGGTCTCCTTCCATCTTCTTCTTGACTCTCAGGGCATCATTCCTGCTCCTCACCTCAGAATCAAGAGTGCTCTGCATGGAGTCAATCACCCTCTGGCTGTTCCTCTTGATCTGCTCCATCTCCTCATCCTTCTCTGCCAGCTTCCTGTCAACCTCACCTTTGATCTGGTTGAGCTCCAGCTGAACACGGAGAATCTTGGACTCCTCATGCTCCAGTGTACCCTTAAAAAAAAAAAAAAAATCACAAACATAGCAAAAGTTACTTCTTGCAGAAACAAAATAAAAATGAATGTATTTCATCATATAAGCGGTCCGATACTGAAATCAAGAGTTTACCTCAGCTTCCTCCAATGCCGACTGAATTTCAGATTTCTCAGTCTCCACAGTCTTTTTGGCCTTCTCCAGCTCATGGATACTCTTTCCAGTCTCACCAATCTGTTCAGTCAGATCTGAGATCTCCTCTATAGAGCAACATAAGTCAGAATATAGTTAATAGCAACCTACGGAAACTGTCCTGCAAGATAGTTTGGAAATTATATTTTAGTAATTAAAGTACAACATACTTTAAAAGGAATATTTCTCCCTTCGATTCAGAGTAATCAGCCCAAGGGTTAAGCCACATTCAAAAGGTATAAGTGTCTCCTCAGTATTGGAATGTTGTTTAGGCAATAGTAGTTTAAGTTCATACAAGAGAGTTCATCAACACACACGTTCATAAACTACTCTTGTAAGGGTCAGAGAAGGACCCACACAAGACTAGTTACATTTTCAAATCTAGTGAGATTGACATACGTTGCAGGTTCTTGTTCTCTCTCTTCAAGGTCTCCAGATGATCCAGAGCCTCCTCATAAGAGTTCTTCATCTTAAACAGTTCAGTGCTGAGAGAGCGAGCCTCCTTCTGGGCTCCTTCCAGCTCTGCCTGGCCCTCTTCATACTTCTGTTTCCATTCTGCCAGGACCTAGAATTATATAGATGAGTAACACTGATTACTTACTAAAATAGATTTTTGTTTCCATCATATCAATGTGGTCTTGATTTCTTTTTACCTTATCAAAGTTCCTCTGCTTCTTGTCAAGGTTGGCAGCCAGACCATTAGCTCTCTCCACATCAATCATGAGGTCCTCCACCTCACCCTGCAGCCTCTGTTTGGTCTTCTCCAAAGACGCGCACTTTGAGTTCACAGCCTCAATGGATTCCTCAGCATCCTGCAGGCGCTGGGCAAGCTTTTTCCTGTAGTCAAGTATTTTTAAATTAAATTTAGCAAGAAATATGTGAAAATACCGAATTAAAAATCTATTTATGAAGGAAATAGTAGAAAGCTTTTACGTACTTTGCTTCCTCCAGCTCCTCTGTGCGCTGGATAGCATCAGTCTCATATTTGGACCTCCATTGAGCCACCTCACTGTTGGCCTTGGACATTCCTCGCTGCAGCTCAGCCTTGGCCTCCTGCTCCTCCTCAAACTGCTCTCTGAGCAGATCACAGTCATGGCGGGCTGACTGAACAGAATGGGCTAGGGCGTTCTTGGCCTGTTAAGCACACAGTCCATGTCAGAGGTACATTGACCTAATGTATGTCACATCCAGATGTTTTGTGGATAGGTGAAGTTAAAACTCCAAAGAGCCATGTTTTGGGAGCATTGTCTCTGAGTGCATCATTTGTTACTTTTTATGTTCTTTTATGAATTTAGATGTCCTTTCAAGAATTTAAATTTCTCTTTGACAAATTTCACTGTTACTCTTAACAGTGATCAACTGACCCTTTAATATTAGTCTTGCGATAAATTCCAAACCTTGTCTAGTTACTTTTAATTCTATAGCAATACCGTGATTTAACTAGTTTGACATTCTCAGTATTACAAGGATAATGGATAATGTGTGTATAACAATGTTTGCTGGTGCATATATATATATATATATATATATATACATACACGCACACACATACACACACACACACACGTATTTTGTTTGTTAGTAATAGAAAATGTTACTAAATGGAGAAACCGATTCATACCCTTTAACAGTCTGAACATAAGAGATTAACTTTTCTTACCTTCACTTCCTCCTCAATTTGCCTCTTCAACTCCTCAATCTGCTGAGTGAAGGCCTGCTTGCCCCTGGTCAGCTGGGAAACGAGAGCTTCTTTCTCTT